ACCTTTTGGTACGACTGGACTCGAACCAGCAACTGGTGCCTCAACGTGGTGCCGTGGTTATGGAATACCATGGTAGCAAAAATTTAACACCATTATAAACATATTCAATGAAATAACTATTCATAAATGTATCTAACAAGGAAATTAAACATTTTTTTCGATTAGTACCGCTGAGTGTACCGACGTCGGCACAAGCGCTAATACAAATCTGATTTAATAGCATTCGGCTCCGCACGACTGCACCCGGCGTACAACGTTATTTTCACCTCTATGGGCGCGACCTTAGGTTCCTTTTTCCTCGCAGTCAGCGCCTGGTGTCATTAGTCAGATTTAGTAGGCTATTATAGCGTAGGTATTTTCGATTGCGTACGAGAGCGATGTATTTATTACGTAGTAACTATTGAGTAACCTACGCCAATGTCTCAGGTTCATTCCAGGTTCAATAATCACGGCTGACAAAGTCGATGCATTTAGGGCGCGTTTGTTCTTAAGGTCTTCGAAGCGCCACGACCAAGGGAACTATAAAGGTCCCGAACCGTTGGTTTGTTTGAAAAAACAAATATACACGATTTAGATCCAAAAAAAATATCATTTCCTATGTGTAACAATCGCGAAAACCTAAGAACTCGACATATGTAATAAGTTAAAGTCTATTTCGAAGTTAAAGCCTGAATTGAAAGCAATGGTTCTCCCACTGGACCACCACCGGCTATTTTAATATTAATAAATCAAACCCAAGGTCTAATATTAATAAATAAGGTTTTAATATTAATAAATCTGTAGACATGACATAAAAGCCAATTTGTGCCCGCGTGGTTTGTCAATTTTGTACTCAAATACATTGTTTCAAAACAACACTAGCTCATAAACTCGTAATTGTATACCAAATTTATAGAACATTTTTAATAGATACTAAGAATAATAATTCATTCCTTATATTAAAAATATATCGCCCGTTAAATGAAGCTAAAATACCATCTCGCTTTTGCAAATTTAAACTTATTTTCAGAAACGTTAAAGACCATTTCCCGAAAGTCCGCTTTTTTGTTTATTGACCAACGTATATCTACCATATTATAACAATGAAATTTTAAACCTAAAAAAAAAATTAAATTAAACCCTAAAATGCCTCTATCGGTCGCTTGAGTTATTTCTATGGCAATTACTTAAAACATAAACCACTATCTTTTAACTCTTATCCCAATAAAACCTGTTTCGTATTATTAATATGAAAGGGCGGAGTCGGTGTGTGGCTATCGGTAGTCGCCAGCCGTGCGATTATATAAAAAAATCACGGACCGTGTAAGGCCGCCTAAGAATCGACAACTGTATGCATGCAGCTGTTAGTGCAGCGCAGAGTCCGCGTCAAGTTCGGGTGGGCGCAGATTTATAAAAAAAACCTCGCTGCAGATGTTCTTGTGATGTGTCCGAAACGATGGGTGCTTACCTTAGATGCTTTTAACGAGGATCATAGTAACATAAACGACCTAATTTTTTAAGGATATTTTGCAGTTGGCTGCTGGCGGCTTTGATTGCACCACGAGATATAAGGACGAGCTGCAGAAACCGTCCGGTAGCTGAATGTAGTTAAGCACAGCCTTTCGCCACATCTTAATACGAAATACTCGTGAGTATTTATCAGAAAATGTTAATTAACACTGCCATTCAGGAATCACTTGATGTTTAGTCAGGGCCATCTAGCGACAAACTTCTTTGACTAACTGTCAAAAACTGTGAAAAATCTGACACACGCTAGCTGGAAATTCTTGTAATTAAAGGATTTCTTCAATTAGACCCTACTACTATAATGTACAGTATACACTGCCCTTGCGCGCGCACACTTACACACCCACACCTTGGTTAGCATTAAGAGTAATTTAATTTATATCAGAAAAATCATATTTGCATTTTGTTTGTATTAGATGTATTCAATCGGATTTATTCAATAGATCAAAATTTAAATATTTATAATATTATAGCCCTGCCTTCGATACTACTATAAGGACAAAATCTGCGCACGCAACCATCCACGAGCCATGATACACTCACCACGCATGCGCACCGCGGCGTGCGCCGGCGACAGATCTCCGCCTGCGTTCAGTTCGCGCGTCCGCGACCCAGCGTTTGTACGTGTTGTATAGAGTTCCGCCCGCCGCGCTCCGACCGCGCGGCTTTTGATGTTAACATATCATAATACGTAGGCCTTACGAATAAACTAAGTGTGTATTCTATTGTCGGTGTTTTATTGTGATTCGTAATATTCCCAACACTACTCATGTCCCGCAATCCATCTTAGTGACAAGAGGGTAACTGAAAACCAGCGCCGCGACTGTCCTGAATTGCTTCAGCTGAGACACCTCCATTTGCCTCCTGTTAATATAATAATCATAATTTCTAATTCCAAAAATATTTACTTAGTATCTTCAGTGTTTATTACTACTATTATTATTCATTTATTTTAAAATTAATCGTCTTCCTAAAGCCTTTTGGCGTTAAGTCCGGTTTTTAGTTTATTTAGGTACACAAAATTTTCAAATATGACTCTAATAGGTTGGTAGGTGTTATTAATCAAAGGCAGGAAATTTTGGATTATACCAGAACGTTGATTGGTTTTTGATTAATCCGCATCTGTATCTAATAATACAATAGTGTGGGTTTGATTATATTAATATGTGTATTATTAAGCGTAAGTTGGAATACAATTTGCAAAATCATTGACTGGCGGCAGCTGGGACGATGTTTGCCCGTGCAGAAGCCACCTGGAGAGGTGAGATCGCTCTGCCTATTTCTTCTCAAACTAAGTAGACTTAAGATCTTATATTGTCTTGGCTTTGCTTTGCAATAATAAGAAACAAACTTTAAAAAAAAATTCGACCATCTTCAAGAACCATAAAAAGTCAGTACACTAAAAAGCGAAAAATAACAAAATACAGATTTAATCCAAATGACAACAAAGCACGTAATACGTTTGATTTACTTTTGTCTTGTTTCGTTTTGTTTGTTTGTTGGTTTATTTAACACAATTACATCAGTTCTTTCTGGAGTCCGTGCCAGCCAAGGCTAGTTTACAAACTTACTTACTTTAACTCGAGAGTACAGTATGGCCTTTCAAACAAAAAAGAATTTGCAAAATCGGTCCACAATTGACGGAGAAATCGGTGAACATACATAAAACATACATTTAGCCAAACATATAACCTCCTTATTTTTTGAAGTCGGTGAGAAATAGGTTCTTGTTGTACAAAGAATACTCGTTGATACAGTAAATACTAGACAACTTTTATTTATTTCCACAAATAACGACACTCTCAATTCTCTCGCACAGAATGCCGCAATTGGTTAATCGTTTTTTTACATTAACCAATCGCGGAAAATTCAAGTTTATTCAATACAAGTGTTGCCAGATTGAAATATGATGTAGTTAGTAAAGTGAAATGAAATAAAATCGAGGAAAAGTCTTGACTTTATAAAATAATATCAAAAATTCGAACCGAGTACTTTACGCCGATTATCAAATCCTTCCACCACAATGCCAAGAATTATAGTGTAAAACATCGATATGATGAGAAAAAGCAAACCCTAACTAAATTTTAAGGGTACATCATTAGCAAAACAATTGTCTGTAGGCGACACGGTTATTGACTCACCATGTAATTACAGCAAACTTCAATTTCGACGAGTAGTTGCAAACCTGCACCTGATGTCGAAATTGGATTTTGTCTCGTTCAGCTCACCGCGGTCTGACCGGTTGATAAGTTGAAAATATCTTTCGTAATTGCATTTGCATTGGTTGGTTCGTATTTCCCAAAAGGTTCCCAAAAGATCATGACCGCGACTATGTTTTCAGCTTCTCTACAACGCCGTTATTCACCTCTTATAATTAATTACACAAATGCTCTGCTTGTCCGTTTGCAGCGAGTTTGTAAGAGTTTAACGTTTTTTTTAATGTACAATCCTATAGGATGTTCGAAAGTCGTTAAATTGTGAAACAAATTGTCAGCGGTCACTAAAACGTGAAAAGGTTCCAAATGTGCAGAAAATCTCTTTTAGTTTTTGTATGCAAATTGAGTTTGCAGAAGTTTTTTCGGAATTATTTCTACCAACTCGGAAAATACATCTACAATGATGTTTACCAAATCTAAATGGATTGAAGTTGTCAGCTGTGTATTGCAGCTTTTGTGAGTTCCTTTTCGCAAGCTTTAACTTTATCGTCTATATCTTTATCATTATTATTCCAATAGATGTAACTGCGAGCAACAAGATTTACTTCTAGAATACTATTTTCTGAACGATGTTCTTCAATTATGTCTAACGACGCGCATTCTTTTGAGCAGCCATATTGTTTAGTAAATTCGCAGCTTTTGTGTCTATATCTTATTAATGAGATCTGTTTTTTTTTATTGTAATAACGTTCGTTATTTTGTGATCGCCTTTTATTTCTTTCGCTATGATTTTAAGGCACACATCTATACATACTGATCTCAATTCTGCCGTGTTATTAACTAGGAACCGAAATGAATCGTCAGCATTGAATTCTTCGAAGAACACAAGTATTTAATATCATAATATGAAATGCATTAGCAAAGTGTGCGTAATAGGTATATAACAATACCATAAAATTTAAAGTTGGTAAGCAATCAAGTGGATACAAAATTTATGTAAATAAATATGTCTCTAAGTTTATTGCACGAGCATTGTCTATTTGTGACTGAAAAACCTAGATTTCAAAACGTGAAAGTAAGACGAAAGTAGCACATCAAACATTATTTTGCTTTTCAAGTTTCTCTACAAGAATAGATGCATTTGTCTTAATTTCTTAAGTACATATTGTACGTAGATACTATAGTATGGTGTAATACGTTTAAATATTAAGGACCGCAGACGCGAAACTTGCGTCTTTTTTCGCTCTTATATAAAGATTTTTCTAACCGGCTTAATGAAATTTCGTACCGATAAGCGTGACTCCTGTATGGTGATGATGAAAATCAATCATTACTTACAGACACAGCAGACGCCTAGGCCGCGTGCGCAGTCTCCGCCGGCGGTGCCTTCACGCTGACGGCAATCATAGGCATTGAGGCAGATACCGGCGAGGGCGAAGCCATTGTACGACGAGGGCTGGCACTCGCGCTCACCACCGACAGGAAAGAAGTTGAGGACCTTGCCGATGGAGAATATACCTGAAAAAGAAAACAAAAACTGACATTTAAAATGTCTATGATCTTGCGATTTCCAAACAAAAAAAAACTCAAATCATATTTCTTTCATAGGTAAGCAAATTGTACTTCAAACCGTCAGATTGATTAAACTCTACCACTCATTCGTAATGCAGATTCCCCTGAGAAGAATGACCATGAAACTCTAGGGGTCGCTCTTTTTAAATTGAAATTTGTATACATTTATCAATTACATTATAAATATATTTCAAATATAGATCAAGACAACCTGCAAAAGCTAGACGGGACGATAGATGCTGTATCAAGAACGACTGTTGCGCTGTACGACGAAACATAGCAGCCATTTTTCTCGCAAAATTCCGCGGCTGTTATGTTACTAAAATGCGATGCATAAGATGCAACCACCTAGAATTTGACACAAATCAAAATAACTTGATTCAACAGAGAGAGTTCGCCTATTAAATATAAATCGATAAAGTTATTTTCTGCAATAAAAATGTCATATTTCATGTACTTTTCTTTTCTAACACTTTTTTCTTTGAGCCCTTGTTATATATTTAATACTGCGAACAATGCAGACATTGTCGCAAAGGTAGAACGACGGTGACAATAATTGACGATAAATTGACCTAAAAAAATTTCGGGTCTACCCCGCCTACCTTTATGCCTTTACAAAATAAATTCAACCTTTCAAAGAAATTTCAAATGCCTTCATGGAAATTTCATTAAGACGAATCCAATTGCCAGAGAATGTACTATATATTTTTTTTGTAAGTTCATTAGCAAGGTTCGTAAGGCAGTGTTTTTTCAACATTTATTATTCAACAAAAACAAGTCGAGTGCATAAGTTTTCGCGATGACTACACATGGAAAATGAAAGTCTTTTATTCGTATCCCGTCACTATATCAGCCGGAAAACATCCACTGCTGAACATAGACCCCCACCCCCAGATTTCAGACTAGCCGGTCAGACGCAACGTGCATCGGTCGGTCATCTAGTAGGGAGCCGTCCCACTTGAACGCCTTCCGGCCCGTGTCTCCATTCGAGAACCTTTCTGTTTCTGCCGTCAGTTCTACGAGCTATGTGCCCTACCCACTGCCACTTCAACTTTTTTTTTTATAATATCAAGTGACGGGACGAACAAGTCGTGCGCCTGATGGTAAGCTGCACGCCTGTCCATGACAGTTACAGTGCCACTCAGAGCTTTAAATTGCAAAGATGTGGGGCACTGCCACTGCGCCCGTCACCCTGAGACATAAGTTGACAAGTCCCATGTGCCTGTAATTTCACCAAATTTTGCTAATCCTTTGAGCTATGTCGGTAACATTCGTTCTTCTACGGATCTCCTCATTTCTGATTCGATCGCGTAGAGTAATGCCGAGCATTACTCGCTCGTCTACTCGTTGAGTAACTTTGAGCTTTTGTGAGGCCCATAGTTATCGACCACATCTCAGAGCTGTAGGTCATCTCTGGCAACAGGTACTGCTCGAAGATGTTTGTCTTCAAGGACTGCGGTATTGCGGATGAGAAGGCGTCCCGGAACTTCCCTAAAGGTACCCAACTGAGTCAGAGTTGACGATTGATCTCGTTCGCGAAGTTGGCTCTACCTAATTGGACGGTTTGTCCGATTTCGTATCTAAAATCACCTATGTCTGTTTTCCAGAATAGCTCATATGTAACTTAGAGACTTAAGCATGAAGTGCCAAATCCCCATGTAAATAAAAATGGAAAATTTTCATCGGGCGAGCATCGAAGAGTGAACATAAGCAGCTGATGATGCCTGGTGAAAGGCAAAACAAGTCTCGAGTGTCTTTTTGTAGAAGCGTTTTGTGTCTGTTTACTTTTTTATTAATTTTATGGATGGCAAAATTAACTGCATAAATTATACTCAACACAAGCGCAGCTATTTTGCATTGATTTAATCTTCACTGGCTTCGCGGGGCAACAAGATAACTTACTGGCATTTTCTTAAGCTATGTATTGTAGGTGTCACATGAAAATTTTAAAATGGTTTGAATATGTTCAATCCTCAATTCCTAACAAACATCTATGCTCCACAGTTTGTTGATATAGATAAGTACAACAGCTTATCATTTGAAATTATGACTGATTTTGACCACAAAATGTGAACGAAATAAATGAATTGAAGCATTGATCAACCGCAAAACTCAACATCGTTCAACACAATGGTCGTTCGCTTAAACAAACCGGGATGTGGTCAGGATTAGAACCGCAAATCCGAACGCCGGTCATGTGTGGAATTTAATAAAGTGTACCGATGCAGTGACCCGAAACCCAAATTACGTTTTGTTGTGGCGAGAGTGGGTTTGTGAGCAAAAACTCTTTGAAATGTTAATGATGATGTGATTAAGTAAATTTATGAACACGACGGTTCGTCTAACGAAAATAGACTAAAGAATAAAGCTATTAAATGGCGGGATGAACAAGTCGAGGGTCTGGTGGTAAACGACACTGACCGACTGCCATAACATGTATAACATAATACATCGTCAACTCCCGCCGATGACTCTCCTGAGCCGGACAGGGTATTCCCTCGCATAGACACACACGAGACAGTGTAGATTTGTTTATATCCGCTCACGCGATACATGCAGCCGTAGACGCATACCACACCTAGAGGTGCCGGTGATGATTTTATACCGATTTATCCGGATATCGAAGTTATAACAGGTAAAAGAACTAATACTAATTGCTATTTCGGTAACTATTCTAGCAAACCATAAAGTTTTTAATGCCTGGGTTTGTCATTTAAAAAAAATAAACTACTTCAAAAATACGTCGTGACAATCGTGTGTGCTATTGTTTGGGCTGGTGATTTCGGTGTTTATTTATTGAAAACATACCGTAAGTAGCGTTTTTTAAGTTTACCCTGAATATAAATGTTTACAAACTATACTTTAAGGAGTAATTTCATGGTAAACGTTAGAACCACTCAAACGGAATATTATCATATTTATCCAAGTACACCAAAAATTTCATTAGTGCTTTTTAAGTGCGGGATTTGCTGTGTTTACTGCATTTTATTTGAGATGTTTTTGTTGGTAGTACGGAGGGTATTTATTTAGCAATGCAGAATAATAATTTTTCTTTATAAAAATTTGTATTTCAACTGAATCCTTTTCTAATTTGCGAAACCAAATAGCCGCCATTTTGCGGTAGGAGGAGCGCATCACGTGAGCGGCTAAAATGCTTCTGCGTATTTGGATGAGAAAAATCCTTAGTAGTAACTTTGCAGGTTGTAGTTTTGCAGGTTGTTTCGATCGAGAGTTTCATAGAGTTTCTAAATCATTCTTCTCTGTGGAATTTGAGTTATGAATGAGTAGTAGATATTAATCAATGTGCCGGTTTCAAGTGTAATTTGTATACCTATGAAATAAACACATTTTGAATTTGAGTTTCAGCTATGATTGTCCAAAATGCCGAGTGGTTTTTTCATGATATCAACTCACAGGACAAGCAAGTCAGGTGTCTGGTGGTGAGCGACATGCCTATTATATACTATATGCAGTTGCGGTACCACTCTAAACTTTAAATCGCAAAGATCTGAAGAGCACTCCCACTACGCCTATCATCCTGGAACGTGAAGTTAGCAAGTCCAATGTTCCTGTAATTTCACCAGCAGCCTTACCCTTCAAAACTGGAACATAATAACACACAGTAAGCTCTGCTGCATACGCAGTCCGTAGAATACGTGAGCTTACCGATGTTGCTACTGCTAGACTAGTTTACTTTAGTTACTTCCATAGTATAATGTCCTACGGAATTCTCATGTGTGGTAAAGCAGCAGATATACAAACCATATTTGTGTTGCAAAAACGAGCGATTCGTTCTGTGTACCGTTTAGGTTCTCGGGTTTCTCTCAAAGAAAAGTTTAAGGAGACTGGTATCATAGTCATATCAGGCATCACAGTACATTTGCTCAAATATTTTGTAAGCGCGTAAAAATATACATAATTTCATTAAGAAAGTAGATATCCATATTAACCGTAGAACTAATTCCAAACTCACCACGATTTCGTTTTTAAGGTAAACGATTTTATGGGGAACATTGTACAATAAAATTCCGGAGTATATATATATTAAGATTATCATTTCCTAAGTTTAAAACTTACATTAAAAGTATTTTAATTGAAAAGTCATATTACAATAATAAAATAAGAATATGTTTCAGATAAAGAAGTATGGAAAGAAAACAAGAGTCTAAATTCCACACAATTATGATTCAAAGTGTATTCCACAAAATTTAAGTTTATTTGAAAAGAGTAATTCCTAGAGTGTCTTGCTCGTTCTTCTCAGGGAGGTCAGCGTAGTGAACGAGCAGTAGCTTAAAAAATTACATTTTCAAGAGTAAAAATTTTACCTATGGAATAAATGATTATTTGACTTAGACTTGAATTTGTAATGTTCACATTACCGCTTGACAGTAGAAATAGGTAGGGTGGCAGTACTTCCCTGGACGAATTCTTACACAAGGAGCCCTAGTAGTACTATCAGCGGAGTTCGTCACGTTTTCCTTCACTGTTAGCGAGAAGCATCGCTATTAAACTAAGCAAGTCCCATGTGCCTGTACCTTCATCAGCTATTAAGCACCCGTAAGTAAGGTGGCAGTACTTGTCTAAACGAACTCTCTCACAACGAACTTCACTGCGTCTAAATTAAATTTAAACAACAAATTTGTGTCCGCAAAAGTAAATTTGTAAACAGTGTGTATTTTTAGTGTTTGTTAACAAAAAAAGATGATCAAGTGTAAGTAGGTTGCAGTGAAAGTGAAAATAGATTCGACCTCGAAACGTAAGTGCTACAGTAAGAAAAAAGTGACCGCAATTATCGAAACTTAAAGGAAATGTTGCTTGTAATGAATATTATGATGTTTTACTTTTTTTTTATTTTTTATTTATTTAAGATTTACCAACGCTTGAGTACATTGTTACAATTATAGGAACTTATGCTAGCAAAAAAAAAAATTACAAACTAAATGCAT